TCCAAGCCAAATGACCTCTATAATCCTGGTTCCCAAACTGATAAAAATGAACACCTATAACACTACATTTTAAAATACTCAAAAATACAAACATTAAAAGATATTGTGCATTGAAACTCTCATAACTGACATAGCCAGAAAAACAATCCTTCAACGCATGCAAAATATAAGCACGAAAAGGTTAAACAGAAGTAAGAAGAGTAAACAGACACACCCCATCTAAGAATTATCTATGTAACAAGGTAATTGAGAGAAAGAGACAATGACAATTAACTTATTTCTATTGACATCTTGTCAATACAGGTAAAGTGAACAGTCCGCACTATTTGAGAGAGACATCCTAGCTTGGATTGTTTTCAAAAAAGGCTCTTAAAATATTAAAATACCAAAATTATTTATATTCAACTCTAAATTCATTTAACTATACTTTCTTAGAACGACGCTTTACCGCAAATGTTTCTTTTGACCGAAAAATTGTAATTTATTTTAAGGAGAAATAACGACAATTTCTATCCTTAGGGATGAAGTATGAAAGGAAGAATTGTGAAGAGTAATGATGAACGGAAAAAAAGGTGTCCAGGAATGGACACTTATATTGTATTATAATTTCTTATTTTCTCTTCATCTGACTTGGTGTTCAAGCGGATCATACACGTGCGTCAGCTAATTATAATATTTTTCCATCTTGACCTGGCAAAACCTTCCCTCGATACTGTTAATTCGAGCTAAGTGCTGATATATATAGCAGGATATGTTTTTTTTTTCAATCTCTCAGTAAGGATCGAGTCCACCAATCTCTTTGCTCCAACCCTCCTTTCCAACTCATCCTTTAATTCAAATTATTTCCTCACTACGACACAAATACCGTTTCTTGATTATTCAAGAAAAGCTAACTTGGCCAATTCTGGAATTATATATACAGTTACGAGCGTCATTCCTCATCTCCTAATCAATCAGTCAGTTTTCATCTCTGTCACCGTTTGCTTTTTTTTTTTTTGGAATGGCGCCCTCCTATTGGTTGGCTACGGTCACACCACCTTTGCCCCCCCCCCCCCCCCCCATCATGCCCCCCCCCCCCCCCCCCCCCACTCGCTATTTCGTCTTTGTAACTATTGTGTTGAAGCGGGTCGCTCCCTAAATAAATGCATATATTAGATAATAACCAAATGGAATCCTCTCTTTCTTTTTCCCAGTAAGAGACGCCTACGGAAGCCAACAATACATAGACAGATAAAGCACATAGGCTATAGTTATTAACTAATATATGCAATTATTTAAGGCGCCAATTTATAATTGTAACAAATAGTATTTGAATCAAAACATTCAATCGGGTAAAACACGGGCGTTGCCCGGGTCATTCGGCTAGTAATTAAATATCAATGACTAGTTGGTATTTATTCCGATATTTGGAGAAATCCATCAGCAACTTTTAGTTGCACGATCAGGAGATGACTTTTTTTTCTTAATTTATCCACCTGATTAAAGTAAAAATTCATTTCTGTTCTATTCTAATATATTTTAAGGTTTGTTTATTCTTGTAATGTTTCGTCGCCTTGGTAACTGTGGACTAATATATTAGTATATATATATTGTCAAGTAGCTCTTCAACCGCGGCCACAGGAAGCTCCATGGGACACCTGTCAATCATTACTGGACTCCGGGGGGACGACCACAGGTGTGAGGGGTTCTCGGAATCTTATCGGTAAATAAGGAAAACGGGACGCCTCGGTGGCTGACCACTCTATTATTATTTTTACCTTGGGATAAGTTGTTATCTCTCTCCCTATAAATACCTCTTATACATGATTTTATTGGAGAACTAAAAGGCAAATACCCTTTATAATAAATTAATTATTCCCAAATTTGCCCTTACTTTATTTATCGCAGCGACTATTTATATATATTTCACAATGATATGCTTTTTGAGTTTTTTAAAGAGAAAAATAATTTAACTCACAACTAATGGACTAAACAGAACAACAAGGAAATAATTAGTACCTTCTAGTAACACATAAATTATTTTGATATTAATGAATTGAGAATGATTATAAAAATATATTAATTACATTAGATAATTATCAGCTCTTCTCTTCTTCATTTAGACACATTTCTCTAATTATATTCTAATTAAACCTGACAAAAGAGAATCATATAAAAGGATAATTATTCAAAAATATATTTATACAATGCGCACCACCTGTTATAAGGAATTCGAACTATTTTTGACGCGTATGATTCTTTTTCTTAAAATAAATCAATTTTCTACTGCCCTTACTGCAATGATAAAATAATGGGAGGGCCTGGCTCATCAGTGGTGAACCCTATAGCGGTTTCGCCAGTTAAAAATATATTTATATATTTATAATTGTATTTAATTCTGCTGTCTCAAAAGCTTATGTCCATAGTTCATCTAAAATACCCATTTCAAGAGTCTAGCATCAGTATCACTATAAAAAGAAGATCGAAAAATGCAATATAAAAACGGTATACTACTCTGATCAAAAGGTTTCAACACTTTGCTCATAAAATCCTGAAAACTCAATATATTTTCTCCCTGTTTGTGGCAAACGCAAGCGTCGCCTTTGGCTTGGAGACCTGCCAATTTTCAAAAATCATGCA